CCTTATATGACGGTCGCGCTTAATTATTTGTATGTTAAGGTACTTAGTCCAGTTTCCTAACATGAGTGTCTGTAATTCTGCCTTTAATTTTATCCGAGCATAAATGAGATTCTAGCCAATATTTTATAATGACATTGTCTCTGTATGAAGGACCCTACCGATTTCAAGAATTAATTTACGGTGAAGGGTATAACAAAGTTAGGCCCCACCGAACCTAACAGCATTTTTGCTTGGACCCTACCGATTTCAAGAACTAATTTATGGTGAAGGGTATAAAAAAGTTAGGTCCCACCAAACTTTACGGCATTTTTACTTCTTTAAATGCATTTCGTCCGCACCTGACATTCGTAATCACCTTCCAACCGACCGACCGAACGAACCAACCAAACAACCACTTGAAAATTAGCAGACAAGTGCCAAGTTAAGTTATTCACTTTTACTCATTCGGAAACAATTCGTTTAGTTCTATAATTAAATTGTAATTTATTTAACGTACTCATCTCAGAGATGCGGATGATGATGATGAGTTTGCTGCTGCTGGTGGTGGTGATGATGGTACACGCCGCAATGCAAAATCCAATTCAAATCAAAGGTGTGCACAAACGGGAGGAATATTTATTGATCAACAACTTGCTGGCTGTTTGGTGCCAGAACATTGGCATCAGTATGATTTTGATTTTCAGGTTTATTTTTATCAATAGTGAATAGAATACAGATAGTTTTTTTTTTCTTTGGGGGCTATTTCGATAACAACAACAACGAGAAAAAATAATGTCACTTTATTTTTGGGTTAACAACAATTTGCATTTAAACTACATGGATAGCAGCTGTTCTATTTTTCGATAGTAATTAGATTGCCAGTAATCTACGGCAAAATAAATGCTTGAGGAAGTATTTAAATAAGGAAGAGAGAGAGACGGAATTTATCACAATTCATTTGATAACGGCGAAAGGAAGAGGAAGTGTTTTAAAATTTACTTGCTTTCTTTTCATTTCGAAAACAGAAAAATTCTTCTATTGACATTTCCATAACAGCTCCTGTAAGAAAAAAAACAAACAGAAAACCATTACGACCGGTTGTAGCGTCTTATCAACAAAATGTGAATGTCCCTTGTTAGGTGTAAATGTCACTGTGTGCACATACTTCTTTACATTTTTCTGTGAGTGTGTCTGTATGTGTGTGTGTAATGATGATGTTTTGGGTGATTCGTTTTTCTTTTTTTTCATTATTTTATTTGTATGCACGTCCCAAAGCAACGGAATGACGATGGTTGGCGGCGGACTTAATGCTGTCGCTTATTGGTAACGTAAATTTAGTCTGATTTCTTAGTTTCTTTATAGTCAACGTATGCGGTTCGTTACGGTGCGCGCGGTATTCGTTTGAAATATAAAATTTATTTAGTTTTTTTCATTGTTACCAAAAATCAACAAACTTCATCAAAAAAAAAAAAAAAAATAGTGCAACGAATTAATAGGGATCGTACCTATATAATTTATTGTTAATATTTTTTTCGTTTGTGATATTTGGCGTTTATTTTATTTTCTACTACACTCCGGGTTTTACGTTTTTGTTTTTATTTGTTTACGAATTAATTTTTTTTTATACGAAACAAAAAACGCACTTTTTTGTCGGTCTGGTGTTGTTTGAATTTTAAAAAGAAAAATTAGAAATTGTAAAGTAACACTTTTTTCTTGTCATTACACACACCCATCAATACAATCAATACTCAGCACAACAATTACATAAGAAAAGAAATATCGCAAAATTAACCAAAAAAAAAAAATAAAATTAATTGATTATCTAATTAATTAATTTAATTGTGAGAAATTATTTTTTGAGAAAATTTAAAAAAAAAAAATATTGGAATACTCTTTTGATTTAATTTAAAAAAATATATATTATTTTGAATGGAATATTTGAATTTGAATATAACCTGTTTTCCCCAATCCATGACTTAATACTGACCTTGACCTATTAGTAATTTAACAACTTATGAAATCGATAAAAAAATCAACTAATATAACTTGGATTTAACCTGAAAGTGACTAATAATAATTATGTTGAAAATTTTGTTGCAAATCACTTGGTGCATATAAATTCATCAATAGAATGTATTCGTAGGCTAAATACAGTTTTGAAAATGTGTAAACCCCATTTTGAATCATTTCAAACAATTTTTGTTTAAAAAAAAATGTTACAAACAGGAAATGAAAACCTAAATGTTTCTGTTAAGAGGTTATGTATTTAACTCCAAGGCCACTCCAAGGCATTATTTAAATTTAAATCATAAAGGAAAAAATCAAAAAAAAGTTTGAGTTCGATATTTAAAAATCACAAGATCATCTTTAACTCGTATTAAAAATAACAAATTTTCATTTCAATATTGTGGTGATCATTTATAGGATTTTCAGGCATCGATATCAATTTATCATCAATGATTGAGTCCTTATAATTATATTTTTTATAAAAAATTGAAAAAAAATATCTAAAATTATTTTCTACACTTATGGATTATTATTATTTGACAAAAATATATATACATGTCAGGGCTACAGTAGAAAAATCTCATATTAGACTGGGGAAAAAGAAATCCATTGAACTACAGAACCTTATTTAAACATACATCGGAATGTCTGATTTGGGCCAAAAATGCACCCTTTTGTTGTATGATTTGTTGCCATTTTAAAGGTAACTTCATAATGTCTCTTTCATAGCAGTACTGCTCTCTATTTGCAAAAATAACAAAAAAACTCTGGTAGTCGATTTTCACAATCCTCCCTATATACCAATTTTTTTATCATTAAAGAAATTTAGCATTGCAAGAAAAATATGATAATTTCTTGGTGCCAAGTCCGGACTGTATGGCGGATGTATATTAAATTCAATTCTGGCCATTTCTGGTCAATTGTAAATGGTTTACATACCGTTTTATGGTAGATTTTTAGCTCCTGGGCTATGTTACGACAGCTAACATGCCGGTCAAATTCGATCATTTCTCCGATTTTATCGACATTTTTGACGAACGGCCTACATGTGTGCGGTGCATCTTTAACATAAAAAAATCCTGAAAGGAATCTACGAAATCAAAATTGATTTATTTCTTTTCTTTATGTGGAGAGGAACATGTCAGCGGGAACCAAATCCGGTGAATTTGTTATTGCCTATACGAGGTGTAGCGTTATCAGGATTGTGGTTACCACAATTCAGTGCGTGTCTGATAAATTGCTGTATACCACAAATCTAGTGGGATATTTTTGATTTACTGAGAATTTTTGTAACGTCAATTTGAGTTGTTAGCTAGATAATTCAATTTTATCAAGTCCATATTCAAATCCCACGGAATTTTTGAAGAGAAATTTTGGAGATATATCAAAATTGGAACTTATATTAGTTTTGAGCCAATTTATAGAAAAATAAATCATATTATAACATTTTTGAGTATAGAAAAATAAATCTATAACATTTGGGATTCTAGACAGGCTTTTTGTGTGCAGAATACTGCCACAGAAAATCTGAAGCCTTTAACGGAATTTTTGAAGGGAAATGTTGGAGATATATCAAAGTTGGAACTTATATTAAATAATTAATTTAGGCTTCTCGAAAATTTCGAAAAAATTACCGATAATATTCTTTACAGGTCATATGACCTCGGGTCACGAATTCACCGTGTTAGACACCTTTGCATTTGATTATATCTGTGAACAAAACCTACACACGGGAAAGAATTCGGATTTTTTTCGGTCTTGGTTTATCCGATAGCGTTAATTGGGATACTTAAGTTGTGGTTTCCATATGATAAGCATAAACCCATTTATGAGCCTCAAGTCCAATATATCTTGAGCGAAGTCAAGGATGCACTGGCAAAAGGCACATTTTTATTCCATATATTCCCTAATTACAAATAACTAGAAGGGAATATCCGTTTTGGGCGTATGACCCTTTGACAAGAACTTTTAATGATAATTTTATTATATCCACCTCGATTTATACAATTTTCTCTAACCAATCGACAATGCACTTCACCTATTCGCATAGCTTTTTTACCCCTCAACGTCATCTTCTGGCGACGAAAATCGCCTTTTTAAATCACTTTTTAAAATTAATTTCAAAAAAAAAATCTTGGAAGCATACACATAGATCCATAAATCGTTATCTTCAGTAAGTGTATTGAGGTACAGTGATTGTATATTCTCCAAATTTCGCCACGAGTTCCAGGAATTGTCAAATTGTGCGGCACCATTCTATAAGACCAAGAATTGCCCTATGCCCAATTACCTTTATCTGAGGCCCAATTACCTTTTTTGGCAATTGGATTTTTAAAGTCAGTGTTTATACAAAAAACTGTCAAAGTTATGAATTTCTTTAAATACTTAAAAATTATTTAAAATAATTACTTTCTTTGAAGGAAAAAGTTATGCATTTTTTTGAAAGACTTAAAAATCATTTAAAATATTAACTTTCTTTGAAGCACAAACCCTAAGCTCATAAAATACAAAACTTATGTTCTTTAATTCTAAACTGTTTTGTTTTTTTTTCGAACATATGACGTTCATATTTAATATTTTGAACACGACGCATAAAATAACAATTATAAAAACAATCTTGTAAATTCTAATTAAAAAATCCTTACATCCTTGCAAAAAAAGAACAAAAAACACCCACACGTACGCACACATTTAAAATATAATTTCAAACTCGTTTTTTTTTTTGTAATTGTTGTGTCACATGTTCATTTTATGTTTTAACTTTTTGTTTGTATTCTAATATTATTTTTTTATATTTATTTGTTGTTGTTTCTTTTTCGTTTTTTCCCCTAATACATGTGTGAATCGAAAAAAACGCTTAACAAAAATTTTTACGCTTGCTTGGCACTGCTCTAACTTTGCTAATTAACAAACTTCAAATACTCCAACAAAACAAAAAAAAATGTCCACTCGCTTACCACCCAACCATACTCGGGGGCAACCGAAACAAACAAACAAAAATACAACAACGACAGCAGTCGGAAGAAATGAATCTCAACGACGATTTACCCCTGCCTCCACCGCCCTCACCCACACAACTTCAACAGTTTGAGGAACAAAGCAACCAGCACACCACCACCACTAACATTGGCAGTGACAACAGTAACAGCAACATTCCACCACATACCCGAACATTAAGCAGTTTATCCTCAATGTCATCGGGTTCCAATACAACACATTCCTCGACACATTCCCTATCGCCAACACCCTACAGCTACAGTTATACCCAGACCAATCAGCCAACAACAATGATGGCCAGCAATCAGGCAACATCTTCGTCCATATCCTTAGATCATTACGGCTCCTCATCACCGCTACATTCAAGACAAACATCCTCCTCATCATCGTCGCTAAATTACGGCATAGGCAGTGGTGGTAATAGTGATAATTATATGTCATCACCCCTGCCACCCCCACCGCCACCACCACCAATGCCCAACACCCAGGATAACAATGCCGATTTGTACATTAACACAATGAAGCAGCTAAACAATGCCAGCAACAACAATGCCAAATGGTTGACCAAGCAAAATGAAAACGATAAGAATTCCTATAATAAGGTCTCGGCTACGAAAGCTCCGGGCGTGGTAGGTGTTGGAGCTGGTGGCGGAGCGGTTACGGCCACACTGCCCACCACACAAAAGGTCTATAATAAATTTTTAAAAGAGTATTCCAATAAATTGTTGACCCAAAACAAGAATGGCGACCAACAGCCACAGCAACCACAACAAATTCCCAACTATGCAGACAATAATAATGCCCCAGCAGCAGCAACAACAACAACACCACCATTGGCTGTTGGCTCCCATAACACACAGAACTACAGCAACAATAGCCGACCCAGTCATACATTCATTAATAACTCCTACACTGCCAGCAACAACACAACACCCAAACCCTATATACCCAATCCCAGCAACAACAACACCCACACGAATGGCATACTGCAAAAGCACCAACAACAACAACACCATTATCCTTTTCACAGCATCGATGCTGACTTAAACAACACTAGTTTGCCCAGTGTTGCTGCCTTAACAGCCACACTAAATAATCAATTGAAATTTGATTCATGTCAGGTTGCACCATCACAACAACAACAAAAATTACCAACAACTACAACACCATCTAGTAGCAATTTACCAATTGTAGATAAGAGTCTAATTAATAGCGACAACACCAAGAACGCCTCGAATTCGAACATCTGCAACAGCAGCAGCAACAACAACAATCCCGAAAACTTCAACACCACCACCTCTAATACGGGTACTAACGACATGTCCTCAACCATGGCCTCAAGGCCTAGCATAAGTGAATCGACGACCAGTAATGGTGTCGGTGCTGGTGGCTCCGGTGACAAACCCTTTGAATATGTAACATTAACGGGTAATGTCATACGTAGTGTTGTGCCACCCGGTAAGGGCACTAATGTCAATTACAAGGTAAGTAGGCCAGCTAATGAAAAAAATGCAGCTCATGCCGCATGTCTTTATAATGCCAAAAAAATGATAGTGGTCCACTATTATCATCACTTACGTTACACGATGATCATAGTGAGACCCTAATGAAAGCTTATGAATGTAGAGTATTTCTTAGAAAATGTTTTTTGTTCTTTGTTCCTATGCTAACCGTATTATAAGCCTGCATGCCAACCTCAACCTCCAACAACCATGTTTAATGTTTATTAGTACAAAAAATAATATAGAAATGGGTTTTTTAGTTGAAAAAAAAAAAAATAATAATAATATCCCAATAAATGAGAAACATATGTATATATAAAAATATCGTTTGGGACGGATTATATAAATTTGTAAAATAAATAATTCATAATAAATTACGAAATCGGTTATGTTTGAAGTATATGGGTGTTTCCATAGAAAATTAAGTATAACAGATATATTATTATTAAAAATATTATTTAAAAAACACCACCTTTGCGTAACCATGTAAAGCTATATCTAGGAAATTAGAAATGTAAATAATTCAAAAATGATTACCACGTAGTTTACTATCAAGACCACACCTACGTGGAATTTAGTCACTTTGAAACAATATTCTAAAGTGAATTATTTTTAGACGTATTTAAATTTGAAAAAAATTAAATTGGGTATTCCATCGGACGAATATACATATGTAAGCTATATCTGATTTTGAACCGATTTAAACGAAACTTTGCACATGTCATTCTAGACTTAATTTAATATGCTATGCAGAATTTCGTGTAAATTGAAAAAAAAAACATAGGAGCTTTGGATCATCATTTATATAAAATCGGACGTAAATATAATATATATGGGAGCTATATGAGAATCTGAACCAGCCGAAAAATATTTAAATCTTAACCGATTACTTAATTCAGGTCTCTTTGAGGAAATGTTTCTCAATCGAGCAATACTTGGGTGTAAAGCTATATCTAAATCTGAACTGTACTCTGTGCAGAATTTGTGTAAATCGGACTCTCCTTGGGAGTTTAGTGTACAATTTTCATAAAATCGGATGAATATATATATATATATATATATAAATGGGCACTATATCTAAATCTGAACCGATTTTATCCAATTTCAATAGGGTTCGTCCTTGGATCATAAGAGTGGCTTGCGCAGTGTATCAGTAACGCGGAAGAGTGTGATGAGAGCAATGCTCGTGTATCGAATTTGACCCGATATTATCCATATAACAATATTTACAGTGATCGGTGAAGTGTAGTGGTCAATATGCCAATGCTGTATCCGGTTTTATTCAATCTTCGTTCAAAATAATATTTTTGCAAACTCTTGATCATATCCGAATATGCAATATTGCGTTTCACAATGTCTTGATCCTTCTGTGGTCTAAATTTTGTAAATTTTTCAATCTTATATTAAATATGCTGTATAGCCTTTCTGCATAACTCTGCATAATGCTTAAAACTTGAATGGAATCGATTCCAAATTTTAGTAGGTTTTTTTCCTACCGCACTTTCTCTAAAGCATATTCAACGTTTCTACCACAGTTTCCATAGGAATTGAGGGTAATTTGTTCAATTTTTTTCTCGGGAATTAAATTTCGAAATAGTTCAGGACATAGCTCTCATATAATTGTACCGAAAAATTAGTCATATGTCACCACCTACCGATTTTCGGTATTTGAAGACTTTTATCGTATTTTCGAACAGAATTTTCTGAACTTTGTCATTCTGTATTTCAAGGGGGTTTGATTGGACATAGTCTGCAAATAGAGAACCCGATTCAATCGTTCAAATAAGAGGAAGATATCCAACATTTTTAAACTCCAGAAGAATGTTGAAAGGGCTATTAAGTATACTTCTGATCCTATAATGAAAATGTGAATATTTGTTTTCGAAATGTTTCTTCAAAATATTCTCCAGACGGGATTATAAACTTTTTCAGGCCCTCGAAACAATTTCCGAAACACCGAATGATCCAACAGCATCTTCTGATGTCCGGAAATAAAAAGAAGTCATTTGGTACCGAGTAATGTCTGTGTTTACTAACAACACATGGTAGTACGACAAAATCGTACTGAGTACATTTGTGCTAAAAAATATCACTCTTTTCAAGATGTATGTCGAACGTTGTGAAAAAAGATTGCAGGGAAGTTTTCTCTACAAATATAAATTTGTTAAACAAAACACCTTGATACTTAAAGTCTCTGTAAACTACACAATACACGTCTACAGAAGTTCATGGTATGGCATTTAGAAACGATCAATAAGTGGCATCTAATTATTTAAACAACACAACACATGTTAGTACGTCAAACCCGTTCTGAATACGTTTGTGATAAAAAAAGATCACAGGGACATATTCTCCATTAAATACAAGGTTTGTTTTTGTTTCGGAAGTTTATATTTGAAGTCTCAGTAAACAACACAACACATGGTCGTACGTCAAACCGTACTATGTATGTTTTTGTTTACAAAAGTTCATATGTTGGTATTTAGAAACGACCAATGCAGAGTAGCACGACAATATCATGCCGAATTTTGAGCGACAAGAATATCAATTTTTAGTTTTCCAAATGCAGGCTTTGACTTGACTTATTGTGCAGAATTTTCATGCCATAACCGCAAATGAATCTTCACCGTCATGACAAAATCCGGGCCACAGCCAGACGTCCAAAAACGCCTGATCAACTGAAATTTTGACATACAACCCGACCGAGCGTAACAGCTACAAAAAATTAATCTTCCAAATATATGAGCTGAGAATGTTTTGAGAGAGTACAAATGATTTTTCCAAACCTATTCAAAATTAGTTGTATAAAAAGATAGAAGACTTGGAGATTCTGAAACGTTCAACTTTATTCTTGTAAAATATTTTCTTTAAATAATATGTCTTTGGGTAAAATTAAAAAAAATATTTCGAAAAATCTGTTTTAAACATTTAATCTTCTGGAAATACCCATATACGTCTCAAACACAATAAATAATAATATTCTTAAAATAAATTGTATATTTCAAATTCCTTATTAAAATATCACCCATCACTCCTTCTCTTCTAGGTCAACCAGGGCTATGTACGTCCATTCGGTGCTGCCCCACCAGCTGCTGCTCCCAAGTCACCAGTTACTTTCCCACCACAACCCCAACAATGGAATGCTCCACCACCAACTCAGCCTAAACCAACTGCACCAGCTGGCAATCCTTATGCCACTTTGCCACGCTCCAATGTTGGCCAAGGACAAGGTAAGCTTTATGAACTGCTAGACAGAGATGATTTTGAATTTTCACAGAATCAAGGAGATTGGGTTTGATGAAGTTGAAATTAAAAACAAAAAAATTAGCAAAAAATGTGATAAATTTTAATATTTTGATAAAAAAAATCATATTTTTTATAAATCTTTTTAAAAAAAAACTTTAATGAATTTTTTAGCAAATTTATTTATTTATTTCTTAAATGTATATAAATATTATTACACAAACATTATTTGCCTTTGTTAACCAACAAACGAAACCCAATTTTTTCCTAAATAAAGTTTAAAATCTAAAACAAAAAATTATATCCCTAAGAAATTAAAAAAAAAATACACACACGCCCACACTCAAAATCCAAAAAGTGCAATACAAAAATGGCCTACAACAGCTAACACTAAGCAACAAAATGAAAAAAAATATATTAAAACCAAATTACTCAAAATTCTGCATTAATCCGGCTCAATGTTGTGTTGCTACATTACATTTAACAAAATTTTGCAAAACATAATTTGGAAAAACATGAAAACAAAATGAACCAATTTGAAAACACATTTGGCCCCCCTCTCTCAGTTAGAGCCTTGCTTTTATTTCTTAGACTCCCCCTTACTTTTGTTCTACAATTTGTTTCTCTCTCTTTCTTCTGGAATTTGGCAAATTTGCTAAAAATTTGGCAAAATAAAATCTGCTTTGTAATTTATTTTTCATTCAATTGAATTTTAAATTAAAGTACACATTATAAATATATTATTTATTTACATATATATATTTTGTATATTTGTGTCAACAACATACACAAACAAACCAAAATGTTTACCCACAAATCAACCAACCAACCAACAAACACCAAAACCGAAATAAAACCAATTCCAGTCCGTAGAACTCAATCGTTGTACAACAGCAACAGTAATTATAGCAGCAACTATAATATGTCCCAACAACAATACAAGACTCCAAGTTTTGTAGGTGGACCCAATAGGTACTCAACTCTGCCCTCTTATACATCCTATAACAGCAAAAACCTCTACAATAACTACAATTATCAAGGTAAAAGAATACAAACGAACAAGCACGAATAGATAAAATGCATCGTCGACAAGCTAACTTGGACAAGTGACATTGTCAAACATGTTTGAAGGGCAATGTTTGGCATGCATCAAACATAATTGTAAGGCTTTTTTGACAAGTTTCCTTGGCAAATATGTTTGAAGGATATGATTAACAGTCATGCCCTGCAAACATGCTCAAAAGACATGTTTGACAAACAAGTTTGACTTGCCAGTTTTTCTAAGCAATTAATTTTGAAACAACTGTAGGATCACTGTTATGCATTAATTGCACTAAAAGACCATAATTTAATTTCGTTGCAACTGAAACACTATCACCAGCAACTTTAGCCAATGCAAAAGTATTTCAAAATCACATGCATTTCAATTTACTTGTATGTAAATAAAACAAACACCAATTTTCCACAAGCTTAATTTTCTAATATATAATTGCTGCTTTGTACTGCACATACACCAGAAATTTTCCCCCAACCTGTTGCTCTAAATTTCGTTTTTTTTCGGAAAATCAAAAAAAAAAAAACTTTTCTACACTATTTGGAATACTAAAAATATATATTCATAGTAGTTTGGAAAATATCATTCTCTAGAACATCATGTCATTGCATACTTTTCACATTTCCCCAATTTGATATTTCCTATGAAAATATTGAATTCTATTTTGCTACATAATTGTTTAATTGGTCAAAGGAGGATATTCGAAAAGTTCAGGGATTTTTTTTTAATCTTAATCTATATGATCACAAAATTCAGAACAAAGAAAAAAATATAATAAAAATATATATATATATATATTCCCAAATGGCGCCCAACTTGGAACTCCGTTACATTCACATATTTATTTTAATATTAATTGATATGAGTGAACATCAACTTCAGAATATAGAACAATTATAATAACTAAAATTCTAAAAAAATTCAGATGTACATACACAAATGGCGCCCAACGTGGGGTTTCGTTACATTGACCTATTTTTATTAACACTAAATTCAGATTATAGAATAAATATAATAGGAAAAAAATATAAAAAAAATATTCAAAAATATAAATATACACAAATGGCGCCCAACGTGGTGCTTCGTTACATCGACTTATTATTATTTATTTTTTTTTAATTTTGAACACTTTAAATTTGAACACAAATATAGTAGGTAAAATTGTAAAAATTTTGACATATTTATTTTTATCTTAATTGATATGAGTGAACAATAAGTTCGGAACATGGAAAAATGTAATAGATAAACATGTACAAATATTCAGAAATATGTATATACACAAATGGCGCCCAACAAGGGGCTTCGTTACATTGGCCTATTATTTTTTCTATTTTGAATACTATATGCAGACTATAAAACAAACATAATAAGTAGAATTGTAAAAAAAAATATTCATAATATGTATATACACAAATGGCGCCCAACGTGGGTCATCATTAAATTGAGCTGCAATATAATTAAATTTAATTGCCCTAAATTCACATTTATTTTTTACAGTGTTCTAAAGATTTTGTTGAACTAGTAATCCACATTTCTTTTGATGTTATGCCTCACATCCCATTCTTATTATATCTACATTATATGACACAAAATTATGACTTTTCAAAACTGATTAAAATTTTTTTGTATCACAAGTGTATCAGGATATTCACTTGTTTAATATTATATTAATGAGATATGATGGTGATCATGAATATTAAGTCATGCACGTGTACAGATATCAATTTCACTGTTCTATAATGAACACCGCTGGTAAATAAGAGAAAAAGAACATACAACAATTTTCCAGACAAATGAAACAACAGTCTGTACAAATGCATACAGTGGCTCAAAAATTCAAAAACAAAAAAAAATAATTTTTTGAATTAAAAAATTAATTAAAAAACAAATTAATTTAATTAAAATTTTTTGAATTAAAAAAAAAATATGCTAATATATTTCTAGTATTAAAATCGATCAAATTTAAACAATTAGTATTCTTTATTAATTTTCATGCTTTTCCAAAATATTTTGAGAATTATAATTTTTTATAAAACGGCTTTAATTAATATTTTTTATTCAATCCCCCAACCTTCGGTCCACTGTAATATGCTCCACACACCACAGACGCATAACTTTTCATTTGTCAGGATATCTGTTTACGCGCTTGTGTGCGTCTACATAATTTGTTTATGGTAATGAGTTTTTATTACCATAAATTTACTATACAGTATATACATATGTATTGTTGTTATTTGTTGTTGTTATTATTATTGTTTCTCTTACCATTATTGGCAATCGTATATGAGCAGCATATCCTCTTTGTTGTCTTCTTTGCGATTGGTAAAAATAAATTTGTTGAAAAACAATAACAAAAACTGAGAGAAAATGCTCAGTCAGACAATGGGTGAAATGAAAAGGAATTTCATTGTGTACACATATACCTATTTATACCCTACACCATAATTTTTTTCATTTTGTTTGTAACACCTCGAAATTTATTCATTGAAGAGCCCATAGGATTCAGCGCCTAATTTTCTTACTGAAGTGTCTATAAGTATTTCTTTCGGATAACCAGTTGATTAAAGTTCTCATCTGTGGGCCCACGTTTTGATGTAGCCTCCATATAAGCGTCTAGCCCCATTTTCGTAATTGTAAAACATTTTATCTGGAAATCGTTTTCTCATGGAATACTAAATTTCTGAGCAGAAACATTTCAATGTAGGTACAAGTTTTGTCATAGCCTTCAAATGCGTGTGCCCACCGATTTAAAAAAAAAGAAACATCCGAGCCTCATTTTTCAGGTGAAGTGACAGCAATTTACCATTTCTGTTCCTCAAATGACAAAATAAATCCTAGCAAAAAATCAGGTTCTGTCCCAGATTTAATAAGATTTTGACAATATTTGCCTTATTTTCCTATATAAATGTGACAGAAAAAAATCATTAATCCGAAATAGACCCCAAAATTAGGACCTGACAGATGCCAATTTTTTCACCTTTTGGCGTAGCTCTCATATAAAGGCTCCTCATCATTTTGTGGAGATCTTCACTTCAACAACATCATATTTGTATCGGAAAAATAAATATAGTTAGACATATCCTTCATCAGAGGGTTACCGATCAATCTTAGATATTCTGAAGGTTGTAGTCTCTTTTTTTCAACAAAAGTTGTTCTAATTTATTAGTCTTCCAGAGGATAAAAACCCCTGGAAGCAGTCTTTATATAACAACCATGGATGGTCACAGCCCTCATATATCATATATTCGATACTTCCAACTGTTGATTTTCATATTCCAACCGAAATGGTTATGGTTTTTCAAAATTACCTCAATTAAAATTAGGTTCCTATGTTAAATTTCCAATCGAAGCGGTTTTCAGCGGATGAAATATTTCGGGATTCAGAGAAACATATTTTCTCATGGAATGTTTTAATGTAGACACCTCACCTCAATTTCTAACCGTAGTGGCTGTAATTTGGCATTTCAGGTGATTAAAGACTCAAGAAAATGAAACTGTACTTCGCCATTTTCATATTTCAATTTCGAAGCGAAGAATAAAATAGTTTTTGCTAGAAATGTTTCAATAAAGGTCCAAGTTATGATCTCGCCTAACTTAGGTACTGTGTAGACTCCTTTTTCCCAATTTAAGTTTCTGTAATTAGGCTTTTCGAAGTTTCTGAAAATAAAATAAGTTTTTACTACAGCTCCATGTTTCGATATTTCTACCGATTTCTACCGATATTTAGAAGACCCTAAGCCTAATTTTCAAAACGATGTGACTGTAATATAGGATTTCGATTTCTAAGAGGATAATGAATCTCACAGGAAATTTTCAGTATAGGTCTGTATTTTGACATAGACCCGATGTAAGAGTACCAACCGATACCGAAAGTCCTAGCTTCATTTTCTGTCCTATTTTGGCATATTTTAGGTTTCCAAAGGAGATCTCCTTTCAAAAACAAAAAATAAATAAATAATGATATTTATTTTTTAAACATATTTCATATATCGGGCCCTTCGGTTTTGATTATGGAGAGGGCCCTTGTTCAATATGTAATATATTTTCAAACTTAATCCATATGTCGTCCCCTTCGACTTTATTTATATATAATATTTAAGTCCTTATTTCATGCTTTTCCCACAATCTAGTGAAGGGTATACACATTTCGGCCCCGCCCCCCGTGTCTTCCGACGTTTTTATTTCTTTATTCCTCTTCATATTATTATTATTGTGTTGCTTTTGTTGTTGTTATTTTTATACAATCTCCTCCACATCCACATAGCCAATGAGCCAATTCAATCACAGATGTTAAAATTCACAGGATTTTTCCGTTGTTCAAAAGGGGATCAAAGTGAAACAACATAATCGATAAAAATTCCAACATACCTATGTGTAATACGTTATACAGGATAACAACAACTACAGCAACATGACAATGAGAAATAACAATAGGGAAATATATATGTCTATGTATGTGTGTATATATTTTTACGTGGAATTCCTATGCATACATAAAGAAATGTAGATATTGGGGTGGGTGCTGTGGAGAAGGCACACAAATTGGCTTATTACAAACGCCCACAACAAATAATTTCAAAATTGTATTTAATAAGATATTATAATTGGATATTTAATGTTGAAATGTGGTCTAAGGTTTCATTCGGTGACTAGGAAATGCTGAAATATCTCAATTAGGTGATTATTTTGAATTAACCAATTTCGAGTTTTTTATATTACGAACATAATTTTTGTTACAAGGTGATTATGGGATTCTAAAATAATCTCGTTTCTCCTCCTAATATAACCTATACTTTCCCTTGTTCCAATTGGTTCTCAATCTATTTCCTGTTCCACTGTTTGTCCCCTAAAAATAACTACAAGTCGTTCTATATCTCCTTTTTAAAAACGATATTTTTTGTCACACTTTTCAAATTTGACCTCAATTTTGCTTTCACAATAATTTGCTTGTCTAACAACACCCTTCCCCTGATTTCCTTCCCTATGCCACCAAATTGCTTTGCCCTTTAGATATAGATTAAAATATTTGTTCGAAATAACTAAAAACAAACCAAACAAACCAAATTCCATTTTATTTTTTTAGGTTACTATCAATACTACTAGAACAAATATTTTGTGTAGAAAAAAAAACACCCAAAAACAACAACACCATGATATCCACTTATCCAGTCCAAATTGTATAACAAAACAACCAAACAAGAACCAAAAAAATAAAAAATCCCAACAATATCCTCTCGTGCATGTTGATAACCACACCAAGTCAAGCATGTAGAAAATAAAAAGAAACGGATATAAATATGTCACAATGTATCAGCAGCAGATCTTTCAAGGATGAAATGACACAAAATGATTTAAGCAAATAAGAAAAACAGAACAAAAACAATTAAGTGTGATGGAATATAGAATAATGGAAATAAAATTTAAAAACTCAAAATAAATAAATTGTTATACAAGGTTTCAAGTTATTAAAAGAAAAAATTTTGGTTTTTAAACATTTTTTTCTATACACCAATAGTTTGTATACAAAAATTTCTTTTTTAATATTTTTGGTTATGTTTCAAAATTTTCCTTATAACAAAAATGTAATTGGAAATGTTTTTTTCTATTGTAATTTCACATGAAACACTTTAGGCGAACAAGTGTCAGTGAAATTGCCTTCTTTATTTTTTCACTCTTTCCAATATTTTATATTAAACTAATAATATTTAATAGTTTTTTTTAATTTATTTTCATTAACTTAATAACCACACAAATTGTTTTTGTTTTTCTTGTGTTTGTGTGATTTTGTTTGTTGCTGTTTTTATTGTGTGTTTTGTTATACAAACTTATTTGTTGGCATGAATTCTCTTAAAAATTTTTAAATAATCATGGTATAATAGTGTAAAGTTTCTATCGCAATGCTTCTATTTATGTTTCTTCAACATATTCAAAACATATTTTTCTCCAGAAAACCTGAAATTTGTCCAGTATAACAGTTTCTTGTAATTGTTATCTTCATTTTTTTGTATTGTATGTCCTTCGTTTGTGTCATAAACGATTAATTTCGTTGAAAAAATCCGATTCGATGAAATGTTCTAAGTATAACAGTTTTCTATAACTGTTATACTCAGGAAAAAATGTGATTTCACACAATAAAACTCTATTTACGCATAAAAATCCAACTTTTATTCAAAAATCAGTAGTATAACAGTTTCACTTAACTGTTATACACACATTTTTACCTATTTTTTTATAACTAATATACACATAGTTTTACCTATTTTTTTATTGGAATTTAAAAAAAAGAATATAATGACCTCATTTAAAGCACTGTATAACAGTTTTTCTCTTTCATTCTCAATTTTTTTGGAATCTCTCCTAGAGTAATAAAATACAAATTTTAAAATAATCATGGAATAACAGTTCAAAGCGGCTATTGTTCGATCTATTTATTTTTTAAAAACTATTTTTCTCAATAAAATTTAAAAATTTTCAGTATAACAGTTTCTTGTAACTGTTATCTTCAAATGTTTATATTGTATGTCCTTCGTTAGTGTCATATACGATAAATTTTCCAATTTCTTTGAAAATTTCCAAGTATAACAGTTTTCTTTAACTGTTATACTGAAGAAAAAAAGTGTGATTTCAATCGATAAAACTCTATTTTTTCTTAAAAAATCAGTAGTATAACGGTTTCACTTAACTGTTATACAAACATTTTTACCTTTTGTTATAGGATATATAAAAACCTCATGTAAAGCACTGTATAACAGATTTTCTATACCATTCCAAATTTTTTTGGAATCTCTCCTAGAGTAATAAAATAAAATGTTGTAACCCAATATATGTAACAGTAAATTAGTCAAGGTATAACAGATAAATATTGATATGTTATGAAATAATTTATTATGTTATAAAAACTGAAATTTGCTTAGTATAACAGTTTTTTAAACTGTTATTTTCAAAACAATTACATTATACTCGGGAAAAAAGTGTGATTTCAAACGACAGAACTTTATTTACGCATAAAAATTATTGTTTTCTTCAAAAATCAGTTGTATAACAGTTTCGCGTAACTGTTATACACACATTTTAACCTAATTTTATGTAGGAATTTTTTAAAAAAATCAGAAAGAAATCAGAGAAAAAATGAAGTCATTTAAAGCACAGTATAACAGTTTTTTTTTAAATATTATTAGCAGCTTCCTTTGGAACTCCCCTAGGCTATTAAACAATTTTTGTAGCAAAAAATTATAAATTTTCAGACGTTAATCAGACCTTCACAACATATCATAAAGGGTCCATATGTGTTCGACAATTTTTCGTCCAAATTTCCACATAACACCCACTGATTACCTACAACTACACACACACACAAATGCTTCTAGCTGTATATAGATATATAAAAATATCAGCACCGCTGCCTTGCAACAAATCTAACATGAAAACAATTTTTATTTTCTCTTTCTCCTAAAAAAAAAAAAAAAACATAAATACATTTACACACCCTCAAACCTGTTATCAAATCCCCTACCTCTAAAACAATTGGAGAAAATTTAATCACTAACCAAAAAATATTTAACCAAAAACACAAAACCACACAAACAAATCCATTACCATCATCATCTCATCATTATGATCATCGTCGCCATTGTCATGATAATTCATGTCATCGTTATCATCTTCCAAACTGTTGTTGTAATTGTTAAAAACAAAATCACAAATGCTGCAAATCAACATTCCAAAAAATATACCACCCTCCTCGTTTCCCACCTTCCGTCACGGTTGAAATGGTTTGGCTGTTGTTTAGAAGAAACCGCAGAGGAAGTCTTGCAACCGCAATATGCTGAAACGTCATATTTCGAAGAAGATTACGAAGTGGAGCGGGCAAATCGCCAGGTGCGTTCGAATTTCTGTTGGCCGCCGCAGCAGGATGATCATCGTACGCCCACGGCGGCACCACTTTATATTGCACCACCCGAAACACAACATGTTGAGGTGAAGCCCATAGAAAATCCGCCTCCTCCTGAGACTGGAGAGAGAAGAGCATCGCAACAACAGTTGCAACAGCGGCAACAGCAGCAGCAACAACAACAGTTGCAACAACAGCAGCAACAACAACAGTTGCAATATCAACAGGCACAAGCTGATCAGCAACAACAACAAAGCCAAGCTCAATGGCAAAGCCGCTCAGCACCCCAACTTACCACTGGTGTGCAATCCACGGAATGTGAATCGGGCTCCGATTCCTATACCTCCACCAGTACCACCGCTACCACCACCACATCCGATGACTATCAGCGGATGTATGCTGCTCAGGCCCAAGCCTATCAAATGCAACAACTCTATGAACAATCCGGTTCAGAATTTGATTATCACATGGATTTGGAAGTTGCTTCTATGCAGCAGAGTCACGATCATCTGCAGCTAAGCTCTTCCGAATACATCTCCGGACGTCGGAGTGCCCAGGAATGTGTTGAAACCTTGGTTCCCTCGCTGAGCACCTATAAACTTGTGGACATGGTTAGGGAAGTAACACCCAGTCCAGTGCCCACGCAGCCAACAAGCACATCTCAGGGTCCAAGACGTGTCGTATTTCAGGATGAACCCGAAGTTAAAGTTGTGGATACTCCCACTCAACAAGGTAATGACGATGAAACCCAACACGAATCCCAAACACAAGAATCCGATGATCTTCCTGAAATTTCCAAAGATAACGAAGGTGGTGAAGAAGACACCGCCCCCGAAGAGGAGGAAGACAAAGGTTTAGTTGTAGAAGATCGTTCTCACATTTTAGAAAGCCAACGTCTATTTCAACCCACTCCAGAAATAAAATTTGAAATTGCCCCCGTCAAGCCTATACCTCCAACAAAAATTCCCAATCCCACTCCCAAAGAATGGATCAATCCAATGGTGGCTGTACTAACAACAGCTCCTGAAACTCCCTTCCATATGGTTGACTGTTTGTGCCCCAAGCCTTGTGATGATTGTACCTATCAGGTTGAACCCGAACCGGAACCTGAGGAGGAGATCACTAAGGTATTGGCTGAAGAGACAACAACTGAAACCAAACCTGAACCTTATGAAAGACCACTCTCTCCAGAGCCTGAACCCGAACCTGTATCTATAAATTCCATCTGGGATACTCCTACCTTGACCAAGGCCATGACCATTGCGCCACCTTTTGAATTGAAATTTGCTCCCCCAGCCTCTGAGGGTGTACCCCTGCCAGAAGAGACGGTCCCCTATATGCCCCCGCCCATCGAAATTAAACCCTATGTTCGGGAAGATTATCGTCCGAAATCACCATTCTTAAGTGCTCTCACCGTAGCTCCTGATCGTCCCTTTGAAGGTCACTTTGAGCGTGATGTACCCATACACATCTTGGATTTGCCCACACCTACTGGTGTGCTAACAATGTCAGATGCATTGCGCACGGCACCGGAACGTCCCTATACTCCCCTGGATCCGGAGAATGCCACCCATCGCCTGGAGGAGGAACAAAAGGAAAAGGAGAAAAAGAAGTTTGAGTTTCAGGTTCTGGACAGAGAAGAAGAATTGGGTATACGCAAACAGTCCATAGACAAGCCTGAGTATTTCACAACCACCGATAAACGCAAGTCGTCGACGTCAGCATTTGCGGCAATGCAAGCATTCCAACCATCCAAACAACCTCTGTCCTCTACCTCAACTCCGGCCACACCTCGTACATCGATTTCCTATACCAAAGCTGAGGGCGATGTTGAATATCAAAAGTTTTGTGATGCCCAAGATCGTTATCAGAAAAGACGTAGCTATTTCTCACAAAAGGAGCAAGAGCTCCTACAACAACAACAAACAAACACTATTACTACCTCACAACAACAACAACAGCAACAACAAAAACAACAAACTAATAACACACGTGAAGAATCCTCATTATATTCCTCTACCAAAGCTAGCTCTTCTTCCTCTAACACCTCTTCCGCAGTCCAACAACAACAACTACAGAAACAACAGCAATCCTCCTCATATGCCTCGAATCTAACACAAGCTACCACCTCCTCGTATACATCGGCTTATGAAAATGTTGGGACCACCTCCACAAAACTCGAAGCCCGGGAAATAATCGAAGAAACCGCCGAGGAACTCGAACACTCCGAGGTCATTTTCCCACCACCATCACCACTCAGTCACTTGAAACAGAAAACATCGTCGGGTCTCCACCGTCCCGAAAACATACCCAAATATCAGCGCAATTGGACAGTGCTGCCATCCCAGAGCCCAGTACGTACTCCCGAACCGCATGAGTTGCGGGAGAATGTACCGCTGGCATTTGTCGATACACCCAAAACACCCACCTCCACAAACGGCCAGTCCAACGAAAACACTGTACATAAGCCCGTGGCCCAATTGTCGACACGCTCAAGTACCGCACAACAGCAATCCTCCACCCATGCTAGCGCCTATAGTTCAAACGTCACGAGTACTCAAAGTCACGAACAAAGGCAACAGCAACAACAAACTGCTTCCGCTTCCACCTACTCCTCCAATGCTAGACAGCAAAATAAACCTACCGCGGTTCCCATTATAATTGAAGATCGCTCCGGCCCAGTAACTATGGCTTTCCAAGCGCTCGACGAACACGTGGTGAGGGATCATTCTCAGCCACCATCGCGGCCTTATACTCCCTCCAGACCAGCCCCCATTGTACCGGCTTATCAAACTCCCGAAAAACTGTGCTTTGATGAATGTCCAGCTACTCATGCCCGTGCCTATGATGCTCGTTCAGCCTCTCCATTTCCAGATCGCGCCCGTTCGCCAGCACCTGGACCACCACCAAACCCCTTGGCTGCCATCCGGGCTCCACGCCTCAAGGATAATGAGGTGTCCACATTGAGTCCTAGGGTTTTGCAAGCCGGTTCCATTACCACCGGCCAGAGCTATTTGGGCGCCCAGCAGGCTCAGAAGCAGGAGAGAATGCTGTCACATACCGAGACATCTTCGCAATCGGGTATGCAGAGTTATTCTCAACAGCCGGAAAAAAGGGATGAATATCAAATCGGCAATTTGAGCGTCCAAAGGAGGGAGCAATCGTCCCGCTTGGCCGAACAGCAGCAGAGTCAAATGCAATCGCAAACCACTACCCAGGTGGGCAATACCCAGATCGAACGTCGTCGTAAGGTGACCGAAGAATACGAACACACCTCGTCGGCCAAGACTGTGGAAATACGCACTGGTTCCCAGACTACTTCCCAGGTGGCTGCTTCCACAGAGCGTAGGCAATCCTACGGCAAGGGTTTTGTGGCCAATCAAGCTCGCCGTCTGTCCGGCCTAGAGCAGGAGATCACCAATTTGACACCGCAATCGCAGGCCATTAGTGCCCGGGCTGCCACTCTAACCGAAACTAAATTTCCCGAATTGCACAGCCCCGAACCGACGGAGGTCTCGAAATTCCCTACAAAACCAATTTTACCTCCTCACGATGAACCTCAACCACCGAGCTATGTTGTTTCTGGAGCCGCTAGTCGGTCATTGGCTAACACGTCGTCAAGCTACCAGCAGGATCAAAAGTTGTCATCTGTTTGTGGATCATCTGTGGTTTCCACGCAACAGCAGCAGCATAAGTTTCAACAGCAACAACAACAACAGAAATCATTAAGTACATATTCGTCAGTATCATCATCTTCACAACTCCAACAACAACAACAAGTAAACACCGTTAGCTCTAGTCTAACCAAAGCTTCTGCTACCACTTTAACTAATAATCAAGCTTATAAATCGATCACAGCTGGTACTAACCAAAATGCAACAACATCGACGACAACACCCCTCGGTGTCTGTCCCGTTACGGGTACATTCTGTCGCCCCGGTCATACGTGCTGCAAACAACAAACAATGCAATTAAATAATAACAGCAACAACAACAATAACAATGTTAGTAATGGCGCCGCCTATCGGCCGAATGCTTCTTTAGGTTCTGGCAACGCTTCTAATAATGCAGCCAGTAGCCAACAGCAGCAGCAACAACAACAGCGACAACAGCAATTGCAAAGTGCACCAAAGCAAGCGCCAGCACCAGCTCCGGCTTCAGCTTCCACAAATTTATCAACTCCATCTACTAATGTTGGTGGTTCTAATGATTCTGCAGGTGGTCTAGCTCCCAAGGGCGGTGCCTATGGTGCCACCTCGGCTCCCAAGCGTGGACGTGGTATTATGAATAAGCCTGTGGCTGCTGGTGTCCGTGTACCATTGTGTCATAGCTGCAGCACTCAAATCAGGTCAGGAAATGATGGAGAAAATGGGAAATAATATTTGTTTTCCCATTTTTTGTTTGTTGTGTTTTTTTTTTCTGGAAACAATGCTTGTTGTTGTTTTCAGTTTTTGGTGTGCATGATTTGTTGTTGTGTATTTTTGGTTATGATTTTTTGTTGTGAATCGCATGTTCGTTTTAAGGCTTTTTAAATTTTTTTTTTTTATTGCAAAATGGAAAATTTTTGAAATGATTATGAAATGTTGTGGCCCTCAGGATGTGGAAAATATATATCCTGAAATAATGGAGATTTCTGAAAACTCGAAGGTCAGAATTTAAGAAAAAAGCTCTGGATCAAATATTATGGAAATACCAATTTTTCAAAAGGTTTAATATTTGAAGGATGCTTAGGAACAAATTTCCGGATTATGGGCCATGGCGAATTCATTAAAGGATTATGAGATCCCCATTTTTTAATATCAGAGCGACTTCTAAAAATTTGTATATTTCTGAACGCATGTTTGTTGCCTTTGTTATTGTTCCTACTAATCTCTGTTTCGTTACTTTGTTTTTCTTGTGATTTTCCTCCCATACAGAGTCCATAACTAAACCCCACATGTTTAGTGATACCTTGCCTCGCAAATCCAATGCTAACCCTAAAATAAATGCTTTTTCTGCTAATGCTGTTCCCGCTGTCGGAAACTCTGCCTCCTTTAAACAGCAAACTGACATACCAGCTCCGCCTCCACCAATGTCATCCGCCCAGGAGGATCCCACAGCTATGTTGAATGCTTCGCTCAGTAAAATGAATATGGATAGTCACATGAATAATTTCATGGCCGAGGCGGGTAAAGTTATTTCCAATATGTTGGAGGCCCGCTTGGCCAATGGTGGACCCTCACCCCAAAGTGGCAGTTCATTGAGTCTGCGCAGCAATAGCAGTTCAAACCTATCGCGCAGTCCCATGGTTGTGCGTAAACGTTTAGATTTGGATGATTTTAAAGACATTAACCCCATTGAACCGGCAGCCCTGAAACCCGTCATTGCTGTACAACAAAATGTCGAGCTAAAACACAATCAACCACATCAAGAACCCCAAGGCTTCGCCAAAGGTGTCTATACGCAAGAATTAAATGCCAATCATCCAATGGGTAAAGTTTTGGATATATGTGATAATAAATTTAAGCCCACCTCTCCCTTGGCCATACGTGCAAATCCGGAAACTACTAATACAAACGCACAATCGGGTGGTACCCTGCCACCCTCTGAAACTGTGATATATCGCAATAATGAACGTTCAAATCGTCGTGCCAGTCATGCCATGGATCGTCGTTCGTACATCGAGTCAAATGGTCAAACGGAAAAGCCGAACAACAAGGATGGTCCGGTCTTTAGCATAAATGTCAAGGCATTGGGTAAGGAAGGTAGCGATCCGAATAAACCAATGTCACCGGAAAACGAACAGGTTGTAAGTCAGTTGCTGAAGGAGGGTAAGAGACCGATTTGTTGTCAGTGCAATAATGAAATAACTTCGTAAGTGTCTGAGTTTTTTTCCGTTCCTTGTTATTTGTTTGCATCTTTTTTAATTTTTTGTTTTTGGAATTGCAAAAATATAACCTTTTTTTATCAATTTCCACAGAGGTCCCTTCATCACTGCTTTGGGCAAGATCTGGTGTCCCGAACACTTCCACTGTGTCAATGCCAATTGCCGTCGCCCATTGCAAGACATTGGCTTTGTTGAGGAAAAGGGTGATCTGTACTGTGAATACTGTTTCGAAAAGTACTTGGCTCCCAGCTGCAGCAAATGTGGTGGTAAAATCAAGGTTAGTATAACGACACTCCCCATCCTCCTCCCCTTTTTATTGTATTAATGTCATTTACCAATTGTTAATCATTCTCTTTTCCCTTGCAGGGCGATTGCCTGAATGCCATTGGCAAACATTTCCATCCTGAGTGCTTCTCTTGTGGCCATTGTGGCAAATTGTTTGGCAATACTCCATTCTTCCTTGAGGATGGTATGCCCTACTGTGAAGCCGATTGGAATGAGCTCTTCACCACCAAGTGTTTCGCTTGCGGTTTCCCCGTTGAAGCCGGTGATAGATGGGTTGAGGCCTTGAACCATAATTACCATAGTCAATGTTTCAATTGCACTGTAAGTATTTACAAAAATGTATGTATGTATGAATGAATGTATTTGTGATGTGAGATGGGATGGGGTTGTCGGTAATGTTTAGAGATTAAATAGGCTCACTTGAAAGTCAAAATTCGGTAGATGGTTTAATGGTCGAGGAGTAATGGAGTTGGCTTCAATGACTGATTATGTAAAGTATCGTTTTGTATGAAAAGGATTAAATGCGGGGGAAGACATAATGTTTGAGTGGTGATTTTTTGTTTTTGGGAATGAAGAGATTTTAAAGCAATGCTGCAATAGAAGGATGAATAGGGTGTGTAAAATTAAGCAATGGTTTGGGGAATTAATTTGTTAAGAATTTATTGTACATAAAATATTTGTCTAAATAAAGGAGTTGAATTTTAGAATACCAACAAAGATATCTTACAAATAAGTGCCGGCGAGGAAGGTATTGAAATAGGAAGGTTGGAAATATAATTCCTCTAACAAATTAGTGTATGTAAAATCGTGGACTTTTTATACGTTATTCAATTTTATTGTCAGGGTATTCTACCTTTGTGCTGCTACTGCGAAATATTGGTGCCAAGCCCACCTTTAAGTATACCAATTGTCATATCTCCACTATTCGAACTAGACATGTGTGTCCGTCCGTCTGTCCATTATAATTTTTAAACTCAATACATGCCACAGTTATGGAAAAATCGCTGTTTTTTTGCATGTAGGACGGGATCTGGGCAAAGAAAGTTGGTTAATATTTAGGAAATGAAATTGACCAAAAACTCTTTGGCTGTTTTTCTGGTCGCTCTAGCGGCTGCAATTATGACCCAAACACCACGACATTTTACACCAGGAAGGGAATCTGGCCAAAGAATAAGCATGACTGGTTTGATGAAGATTGATCAATATTTAGCTGGTCGAATGGACCCAAACTTTTGTGTGAAAAATGACAAAATCTCCAAGAGGAGTTGTTGACTTTTAAAATTATACCAAAATTTAAATTTTACATTTTTATGGTCACGGACGACGCCTGTAAATTTCGATGATGTTAAGATGATATATAGGGGGTGCAATGAACCGAAAACTTTATTTTTTTGTCAGATTTACATTTTTGCTCTAGGTGCCATTATTATATTACATATTTTACACGGTGAAGGGGATCTGACCGAGTACTTCTAACGGCTGTTTAGATGATTATCGGTCAATATTCCGAGGGTCAAATCAACCAAACCTAAAGTAACCAAATTTTTATTTTAAGACGTAAATTCCAAATCGGGATAACAAATTTGGAAAACATGTCAGGGTCAGAAAGTGGAGCTTTTAACCTATAATCAGTCAAAAGGTTGCAAATATCACGAAATATTGCCCAGGCTCAGAATATAAAACCGCAGAATGTTAGATAAACGTGGTAGTTGTGTGGAGTATCATATGCTCGACCCCGTCCGACTTCAGTGTTTCTCTCACTTGTTTTAAATATTAAGTCACAATCTTAAATATTGGATTTAAGAAGCATAATTTTAAACCCTTAGCAGAGCCATATACTCGTAATTTATACCCTTAGCAAAAAAAAAAATGACTCATCGAAATACTGGCTTTAGACCATTTGGAACAAATACGTTTCAAATAAATTGGAGTCGATATACAAATGTCCGCTTGTCTGTCTGGACGGCTGGTGCGTACGATAACTCTCGAAGGGAGAAAACGATTTCATTCAAACTTTGCACATCGAAATATTTAATCTAAACTTCGAAGATGAGGAATATCTGCCCACTTTTTCAGGAACCTCCCACACAAAAAGCAAAAATTAATTTTATAATGTGAACGGACTACCAGATCTGAACCAAACTTTTCACAACCTATTATTTCTACCAAGCCTAGATCAAGTTCAAAGATGGGACCCATTGGTCCACTCCTTCTGGTACCTCCCACACATAGGGTCAACGTTATTGAGTATTTATAAACCCAATATCATGTGAATGAAAACCAAACTTTGTATAACCTATTACATTTACCAAACCTAGACATATTTCGATGGTCCCATCATCATTGGTCCACTTCTCCTGGTACTTTCCCCACAAAAGATCAACATTTTTAAATATTTATGAATCCAATATTAAGTAAATGGAATGCCCGATTTGAGCCAAACCTTATTAATCCTACTATCTTTAACAATGATAGATTAATTTCGAATATAGGACCCATGGGCCACTCCATCTGGTACCTCCCCCGCAAATGGTCAAAATTTCCAATATCAGGCGAATGGAATGTCCAATTTGACCAAACTTTATAAAAACTTTCTTTGCAAGCATTAATCAAGTCTGAAGATTGTATCCATTGATCCACTTCTTCAGGTACTTCCCCCCAGACTGAAAAAATTTGCAATATTTATAAATCCAATACCATGTGAATGGTATGTTTGAACCAAACATTGCCCGATTTGAACCAAGTCTTAATCTTGTCCAAAGGAGGGACCCGTCCGCCCTCTCCTTATGGTACCCACACCAGAAAGGGTCAACATTTTATAAACTTAAATGAATCAACATTAAATCTGAAACCTCTTTGACAAAAACATATACCTTGTATATATCATATAATAATGCCTGTATGTAATTCCGAAGAGCTCCGCAAACCATAGGCTGAGGGTATATATCTTTCTTCAACACGGGCTGACACTTTTTATACCCTTCACCACACTGTGGTACAGGGTATTATGTATTTGTGCATATGTTTGTTACAGGCAAAAATAATCGATAGGGTTATTAGTTTTTGAGTCGATTTATCGTCCCCGTCTCTCCATGTTAAATTGTAAAAAAAAAAAATGCATTTATGATCCGAATTGGATGAAAACAGCTCATTTGTTTAAAGGTTCAGATTTAGAATAGCTCCCATATATATCTTCGTCCGATTTAAGGTAAATTGTGTACCAAAGTCAATATATATCTTTCGATGTGCACGAAATTTGGCATAGCGTACTAAATTAAGTCTAGAATGATGACTGCCAAGTTTCGTGAAAATCGGTTCAGATTTAGATATAGCTCCCATATATATTTTCGTCCGATTTTAGGTAATCGGTGCACCAAAGTCTCTGAAAATCATTCGATTTGCACGAAATTTGTCATAGCGTATTGAATTAAGGCTAGAATGACGTGTGCTAAGTTTCGACAAAAATATATACCATATATATATATCGATTTTATGTAATTTGTAATGCCTGTGTGTGACACAACGTATTGAAGTAATATAAATTAGTCTCTGGCAAGTTTCCCTGAAATCGGTACAGATATAGATATATAACAAAAACGCGTCTGTTATGATATATATGTAGTATATATCAAAGTGGTTCTGCAACACGGACTGTCACTGGTTTTACTTGTGTTAAATATTAATTAAACCACTACGAGTGTCATAACCTTGGTTTTCCACCTCCTTGAAAAAATATGAGATACTAGCATAGATTGTTTAATAAGCCTTAGCAGAACCATAAATGTGGATATTGAAAACAGACACATTTTACACCCCTTTGAACACCTTAAGAAAAAACTAAAATCTAATAATTTCTTTCCCATTTTTTCTCTCTCTCTTTTAAGTACTGCAAACAAAACTTGGAAGGTCAAAGCTTCTACAACAAGGGTGGCCGTCCCTTCTGCAAGAATCATGCCCGTTAAGGTCCATTTAGCCCAAAGAGGGGCATCATTTTGCAAACGCAACATCCAAAATGCAAAGAGACATATTTTCAACTAATAGAAAATAAAAAATAAAACTAAAACAAAATGAAAGATAATAATTCTCTTAATACTAAACCACGCACCTTATCATCAGGGATCATTTATGCATAACAAACATTGAAAAACAAACAAAAAAGTAATAATTATTTAATACAAAAAAAAATACAATTTTTTTCTTCTCTTCTATTTAGTTAATCATAATGAAATTAATTAACATTAATATGTAACAAAAGAGTAAAAAACAAAAAAACATTATTTAAAAACAACAAGCTTAGCTTATTTTATATAAAAAACAATGGAAAATTTTTTCCTCCCAAAAAACCCCCCACCTCCTGTGTTTGGGAAAATGTACTTATGTTTTTGTTCCACAATTTTTATGATTCTCAAAATAAATTTTTATTAATAATATCTTTTTTTTGTAACGAAAAATCTAAAAATAAATGAAAAATAAATTAACTTCCATCCTCTCGCCATATAAAAGAAAACGATAAACGATCCTTTAGCTGTATTTTGTCATTATTGTATTATGATGTCACATAATTTCAAAATAAATTAAAAAAATAAAATATCTAGGAATTCTCGCCCATCAGCAAGAATTTCCTTTTGAAAACAAATATGACTTTGTTTGTGCATCTCAAATTTGTTAAAATTTTCAAAGAAGTTTACCGTTATGGTTGATACAATTCTTTATTTTTATTTGTTTGTAATTCTTCATAATTTAAAAAGAAGGCAACCTAAATGGTTTTTGGTTTGTCAATCAATTAAATTTGTTGTTGTTTTCTTTTTATTATAATTTAATTTTTGGCTATCCCCTTTCTCCTACATATATTTGTCTGCTTTAAAGTATATATTTATTATATGTTATATAATTATTATTATTATCATTATTATTATTAAATGTATAAAACAATTGCAATTATATTTAATGACAACAAATTCATATTATGTAATATTAAAAAAACTCAACGATATCTCTTTTTTTTTGCTGATAAAAATTAATAAAAATAAACAATTTGAATAAAAACCAAAAAATATTGTTGGTGTTGTTTAATTTTTTTATTGGATGAAATTTTAAGGTAAGGATTGCACTTTGGTTGTTGTAAGAGACGCAATATCGCATAACCTCAAATTATGAAGACGAAGAAATAAGCCATACCTTTACTTTCATATACATTCATTCCCATAAATTTGTAAATGCAATATCCAGTGATCGAAGTGTCCAATATAATCCAAACTGCGCATATCATAATATTTGTACCGAATCCAGACCCAGAAGGTATCTCTCCTTCAGGCATCTCTCCAACTAAGGTTATTGAACCAAATCCGATCCAGAAAATTTGGAGTCTATTTGAAAATGTCAGTGCGTCTGGCTGGTGCACACGATAATTCTGAAAGGAGTAACCGATTTCATGCAAACTTTGCACATCGTAATATTTCCTCCCAACTTTTATCAAGTTCGAAGCTGGGGAACATTGGTTCATTTCTTCTGGTACCTTCGACACAAAATGGTCAAAATATTGCAGAAATTTACAATTTTAATATCATGCAAACGACCTATAGGATTTGAGTCTAACTTTCCACAACCTAATATTTTTACAAAGCCTATACGATTATACCTTTCATATGACACTAACTTCATTTTAATACATGCAATACGAAAAAAGTTATGGCTAAAAGAAAGAAATATTTATAAACCCGTCACCAGCGCCATCTATTTTTTAAGGCCAGCCTTTCAAGCATATAACAGATAGTCGCATATCAATAAAAATTGTGTCGTATGAACGATTAATGGGTCGATTACGGATGGCAACCATAGTTTAGTTGCGTTGCCAAATTTGCATTATGGATGACAATTGTTGTCAACTTCAGTTGCTTCAAATAGAATTTTTTGGCAACCATTTATTTCTGGTTGCTGTTTATAATAACTGAACTTTGTAGGCTTCCAATAATGGTTAATATTACTACAAAAGGTCCTTATTACTCGGATGGAAGCTCACCCAAATGTAGCACGCGGCGTTCGGACTATTGGTCGAACCAAAGCCACTATCGAAAACCACCGGCGAAAACCACCGACATTGTCGGTTGAGCCATGCCAAGGTTGAAGTCGTTGCTATTGGACTTTTGAAAACTTCCCTCCACAAAAAACATCAGAGCTGCACACATTTTTAAGAGAGAAGGAATTGCTGTTGACCCCCTGACTTTTCGGAAATCAGGGTTTAAGGCTTCATCTATGTAAACAACGGCATCTTTTGGTAGTCGAAAATACGCCTTCAAGCTAATATGAGCAGTTGATTGAACATTTCTCTAAACGTCAGCATCTACTCACAGAACTGATGGTAGTTCTAATAGATTTATCTCTTAAATGCCTTCTAATAAATGACACACCTTGAACATAATTTTCATCATCAAAAAATAGCTCCACTGAGCTTACATCACACATAATTAGTTTTTCTGAAATATTTTATTCATTTTTTTGTTTGTTTACAATATTTCTAGTTGTAGAAATGTCAAAACAGTATTGTTGACAACAACTGAAAAAAATTGATATTCATAATGTTAAGTTTTATTGGAATTGCGTTGCCAGTTGAACTCGCAACTGGAGCTTGGTTGCTTTCCATAATCGACCCATAAATTATCCAGTTTACTGTGACCAAAAAATTCTTATAACATAAATATTACTTAGGAAAATTATAGAAAACTTTAAAACTACCTATCACATTAAAATTAACAAGTGAAAAAGCGGTAAGTTCGGCCGGGCCGAACTTTGGATACCCTCCACCATAGATATATTGACAGGTACTATAAATGAAAATATAGGGAACATACCAAAAAGTGCACCTATACCGACATTTCTAAAAACGGATTATGTAAACCATAATACAAATTTTAGAAAATTTTAAAGGATAATTATACCCTCAGCCTTATGGCTAATTAGTGTGTATACACTTTCACACGGTGAAAATGTGCCTCATCGAAATATTGGTTCTAGACCCCATGTTTCTTTGGACCAAATCCGTTTCAGAAAATTTAGATTTCATCCGAACTTTGCCCATCTTATTATTTCTTCCAAACTTAGTTCAAATTCGAAGATGGGGAATATCGGTCCACTCCTTCTGGAACCTCCAATCAGGGGCTAGGTCTAAATGCGGCTATAGTTCACTACCGAACCTAACGTTCTAATTTTTTATCTCTCTATCCTCCGCAGTTGAAATGATTACAAAAGGGTCTTAGAACCAAACCCAAAACGCGCAACAAATCAGATAAATATTTTAATAAAAAAAGGGGGTATATGGGGACTACCCTACACGTGGACCGATATATCCCATCTTCGAACTTGACCTGCCTGCAGACAAAAGACAACCCTATGCAAAATTTCAGCACCCCATCTCAATTCCTTCAGAAGATAGCGTGATTACAACAGACGGACGGACGGACGACGGACATGGCTAGATCGTCTTAGAATTTTACCCTGAAGAATATATATACTTTATAGGGTCGGAAATGAGTATTTCGATGTGTTACAAACGGAATGACAAAATTAATATACCCTCCATACTATGGTGGAGGGTATAAAAAGGGGGTATATGGGGACTACCCCAAAAAGGGGGCGAATATTAATAATTTTTGGTAGGGAGATTTGTTACCATATACCACTACAAAATACCAAATTGCAGCAAATTCGGTTGAAAACGGCGCTCAAGAACCCCAAAATACCGAAAATTGGGGGTACCCTTATATGGGGGCTATCCGAAAAAATGGACCTATATTCATAATATTTTGTGGAGAGATTTGGAAACTATTAAGAACTCAATGTACCAAATTTCAGCGTATTCGGTAGAAAAACGCGCTCAAGAACCCCAAAATACCAAAAATTGGGGGGTATCCGTATATGGGGGATATCCGAAAAAATTGACCTATATTTATAATTTTTTGTGGAGAGATTTTGTACCTATTAAGAACCCAATGTATTAAATTTCAGCGTATTCGGTTGAAAAACGCGCTCAAGAACCCCAAAATACCGAAAATTGGGGGTACCCTTATATGGGGGCTATCCGAAAAAATTGACCTATATTCATAATATTTTGTGGAGAGATTTGGAAACTATTAAGAACTCAATGTACCAAATTTCAGCGTATTCGGTAGAAAAACGCGCTCAAGAACCCCAAAATACCAAAAATTGGGGGGTATCCGTATATGGGGGATATCCGAAAAAATTGACCTATATTTATAATTTTTTGTGGAGAGATTTTGTACCTATTAAGAACCCAATGTATTAAATTTCAGCGTATTCGGTTGAAAAACGCGCTCAAGAACCCCAAAATACCGAAAATTGGGGGTACCCTTATATGGGGGCTATCCGAAAAAATGTACCTATATACATAATTTTTTGTAGAGAGATTTGGTACCTATTAAGAACTCAAAATACTAAATTACAGCCAATTCGGTGGAAAAATACGATCAAAACCCCCAAAATACTGAAAATTAGGAGGTACCGTTATATGGGGGCTACCAGAAAAAGTGGACCTATATTTATAATTTTTTGTGGAGACATTCAGTACCCAATAAGAACTCAATGTACCAATTTTCAGCGTATTCGGTTGAAAAACGAGCTCAAGAACCCCAAAATACCGAAATTTGGGAGGTACTGTTATATGGGAGCTATGCCTACACGTGGACCGATATATCCCATCTTCGAACTTGACCTGCCTGCAGACAAAAGACAACCCTATGCACAATTTCAGCACCCTATCTCAATTCCTTCAGAAGATAGCGTGATTACAACAGACGGACGGACGGACGGACATGGCTAGATCGTCTTAGAATTTTACCCTGATCAAGAATATATATACTTTATAGGGTCGGAAATGAGTATTTCGATGTGTTACAAACGGAATGACAAAATTAATATACCCTCCATACTATGGTGGAGGGTATAAAAAAAGTAGAATAATTGCTATTTTACAAGAAGTT